CAATCCCACTATCCGTTGGTAAAAGAGTATCCCAAGAGTTGGCGGTGGGTGGTGATGACTAGCTGCCTTCCCTCTAGTCTTACACTGCTAAATTAGAGACGGCAGATAGCCCTCGTGTAGCTTTGTGCGAAATTCAAAAGCAAACAAACTATTAGACAAATCCAAGAATTGGCGGTAGTTGCTATTGAGTATCAGCCTTCCTTCTAGTTCATCAGTTACAAATTAAGGATGGCTAATGGCCACTGTGTGGCTTTGAGCGGATATGCGAAACAAACTTATAAATATGAGTTTTATTTATGCCTTTCGGAAACTTTAGTCTAGTATGCACATAATCAGCTCAAAGAAAATTAGTTCTCCGATTATTCAACGTTTCCTAAATAAAATATTTCGAAAATAAACGTAGCTTAAGATTTGGCAGTCCTTGTCCTTTGAAAACAACAACATCAAGTTCCATACTTCTATGGAACATTTCTATAAGAAACCAGTTGAGAACCAATCTGAACAAATCTTTTTCTTTTCAGAAATGCGTGTGGCCCTCCAAAGGACCAATGAAAGAAGTAAGGTTACTCAGGGCCGCCGAGAGTTGCCCGGGCCCCAGGGAAGGATTGTTATATGTGGCCCCCTCTCTCACCTGGACCCGGTTATACATGTACGAACTAACTGTCAGCAAGCTGAAATGTGTGATTCCTTAATAGAATAACTTATCAATCTTGGATTAAAAGCATTCACTATATATATATCATCTTGATAGATTTACCATAGCATATGTATCTTAATAACCTATTGTGTTTTTGTTACAGATTTTAGAACTGGATATCATATTTTGAGGATTTGTAAGAGGAGTATTAGTGTGGATTTATCAGTCGCTAGTTTGCCTTAATACAGCAGATTATGAGTAATTATGAAGCTTTAGGTTTATTTTATAACACAAGGTATGTTTAATCAGTATTTTATTATGCATGTTTTGTATTCGTTGCATACATAACAAAAAAATTTAATATATGTCCAAGTCACTATTAGTAACATTTCAATAAACTACAAATGGGCTAAAAATTTTTAAGGAATCAATGATTAATTCTATCACCATACAATTGACAAATCCACTAACACACAAACACATTGCTGCCTAATATGATATCACAAAAGTCACTGATTGAAGAAATTTATTAAATAAATGAATAAAATTAATAAAAAGAAAAATGTGCTAATATAATGAGTTTCATGTTTGTTTAATACGGTTGATTTATGAAAGCAATACTTAATTACACTTGAACATTTCAGTTATTTCATAGTAAAATGCGATATAACTGGTTGAATAAAAATCAGGTTTATAGTTTTCTTCTATTTTGATCCATAAAGCTGTATACTTTATAATCTTCATTGTTAGAAGTGTACTTTCTTTGCCTTCTGTCTGGCTAAGTGATCAATGATTCTGTTGAAATCGAAAGTACGGGTTAACTGGTTTTCAGTTGAAATGATTCCCAGTTATGTTAGTCGGCCTTGGGCAATGGTGAAGTGCAGATAGTTTTTTTTATCAGTTTCAGCTTGCTAAATGATCTCTCCCCTTTAGCAACTGTGACAGGAATTGTGCAGAAAATGCGAAGGGCTACAGAAGCATTTGGGAAAAGTGGATGTAGCTTGAATTTGTACAATTTGTTGAGAATATCTTAAGGATTTATTGCAGCATCACCAAAGTTAGCTTTGTGAATGACCTTTAGATGTTTCATTTCTTCCATTAATTCTTCTGAATGTAGATAATTCTCTGACATATCTAGATATTGCCACAAGAAAGAAAAAGTAATTAATATCTATGTTTGCTCTATATCTTCTAATGAGCCCAGCAATAAC